CCTCGGAGTTGTGGTAGCTTAGTATTAATGCGACTTCTCAGAACATATAAATCCACTTTCTTACTGCTGGCAAACTACAAAATCCATTTTCTTAGTATTATCGCTGGCACTGAAAGTAAAGGTTAACTTGAGTCTCATAGATCATATGACGTGGGTCTTGCAGATTTTAACTTGCGTTTGTTGCTCTAAGGACGCTTCAATCTTTGTGCCATGGCTCCGCATTACCAGGCCGCTACGCTGATTGCTGCTCCGTCCTATCCGAACTCCATTACCTGGTCAAGCGAGAACTTGGTGGCTGTTGCTTCTGGTCACATTGTCACTATCCTGGTATGTGCAATTTCATCAACCTAAGGTATTTGCCTTCAGGCATTACTGTACTTCATCAACTGGATTGACCTTGCATTCATCATGTTTTTTTAATTATAGAACCCAGCCGCAATTGAAGGGCCTCGTGGATTTGTCTTGCTTCGCCCTAGAGATCCTTTTCCCATTGGAGTGGTTAAAAGAGAAGGTTTCTTGTCTTCACAAAAACACGAGCATTGCACTATGTTCCTTTTTTTTGTATAGTTCATGTTGGTAGGCTACTCATGCAATTTGATGGATGGAATAAACTGGGATAGAAATTTAATAATGATATTCTGCAAATTAAGTGCTTGTGAGAGTACCACCTATGTAGTTAGTTTGGAGACGATGGGTAATTTGAAGTTTTGAATTGTTATACTCACTTACTCAGTGATCAATTTGAAGTTTCTTCCCAATATCAACATTGCAGTGAGAATTTAATGCTGATATGCTATTTGAATTGAATGGAAAAGCCAGAAACATTTGAGGCTATAATGCTTTAACTGTCTTGGCTCTTGGTCAGTGATAGTTTAACAAGTCAGCTGCTTTACGACAATTGCAAATTAACAGCTCTTTGCTCGATCTGAAATGTTCAATTCTCAACGGATGCAGATCTCCTTGAACCATGTTTAGTCCCCACTTTCTTAGTGTGTGATACTGAACCATGCGCACGGTCAATTTCATGGTCTCGACAAGGCTTTGCACCTAATTCTGGGTATATATAATTTTAGTGGTATTCAAAGCTACTTTTTGTCTTAATGAAAATTTTATCGCCCATCTTCTTGTTTATATGGACGATCATTTCAGTTGTTTGCTTGCCGTTTGTACTGTTGATGGTCATGTAAATCTTTACCGCCCACCAATTTGGGAATTCTGTGATGAATGGGTTGAGGTAAGCCTATTCAACCAATGTTTATAAATTTTAATATGCACAATTTTTCATATAAAAACAGCTGGAAGGTTAGATTTAATGCGCACCAAATTTCTATTTTGCCACACTGATAGTTCTTCTCATGTTCCACTTACGGCCAAAGTGATCTGTAAATATTCCTGGGGGACAAGGAAGTCAGGATAAGCTCACCATTAACAGCTTCAGCTAGCATGCATTCTATTTATTTGTACAGTACTACTTTCCCTCTGTTAGAAATAAATAAACTTGTACTTTGCAGTTTTGATTTGTCATTTAAAACACTTTTTTTGTTTTCTATCATTTTTTTACAGCTTTGTTCTTGTCAGAAGTTAAATTTTCTGTTTCGGTCCATTGCTTTTTGTTCATCTACAACAGATGGCCTAGGTTGCAGATACCACTATGCTCATAAACTTCTATTCTGTTGCTCTAGGTCTCGGATGTTTCTAAATTACTGTTCAACTATTACAAAAGTATAAACTTTGGAGAGGATGATAGTCCTGATTCAATTCCTCAGGTGTGCCCCTTCCACTCGAACACTGGGAATTTCATTTGCTGGATTACCTCAGAGTTTTATTGTTCAATGTTTTTTGTTCATATATTAGGAAAAGGCAAATAGTGAGCAGACACATGCGATGGAATGTACTGGTGAATTGCAAGGACCTCTTTCCTGCAGCGATCTTGGGCGGAGAAAAAGGAAACCATCAAGGTGAATGATGCTTTCCTATTTCCATCATCAAGTTCTTTTCATAGCATTGTGGCTTTGCAGTTAAGCACCATCATTTTTTCCCAAGTATGGCAAAAACCTGAGCCAAGAATTTCATATATAAACCTGAGCCAAGAATTTCATATACTAGAAATATTGCCACACATTATTAGGGTTTGACATTTGTGTATGGCATGAACAAAGAAGCCCTTTAGATTTTTCTCCTCTGCCCCTCTTAGGGTTATTTGTTGTATTTCCTTGCATGAAGCCAGCATTGATATATTGTGCCTGAGTTTATTTTAAGTAGATCTCGTTTGATCTTAGATTTGAAAGCTATGTTTATGATGAGGATGAAGGTGATTTAGATGCTTCAAAGGATGCAGACTTCTGGCTCAATCCATGCTGCAAGTCAAAGAAGATATCTATGAAGACGGTATGGACTTAGCATGTTCACATGTTCGGATCTACTCTGCATATTCACACGCAGGCTGAAATTTTGGGTTAAATTGATTCAGCTTTGAGTCGTAAAAGGCATAGAAATGGCTTTCCTTAGAATTTATCAAATGAAACAACTAATTATCCTGAAAATCCAAACTATTTCATGGCCTATATGAGTTTTGGCTTTTATTTTTCATACACCCCCAGACATCTATTCGGTGTTCTATTCTAGTTAACCCAATTGTGTCTCCAGATTGTCAAATCTGGGCGTACAACTGCTATCGTAAATGGGTTAGGTGGCTCACAGGATACGAAAGCAGCAGTCTCTTGCAACAAAGAAAACGCATGTCTTCCTCTTATCACCGCAGAACAGTATGCACTTCAAAATGCAATTTTGTCTTCTCTGGTAGTTGCATGGTCTCCAGTTGTGCCATCACGCGACACTACTTCACATTTGTTGAGAAATTGGTGCATTCTTGCTGTTGGCTCCAAGTCTGGGGACGTTTCATTTTGGAAAATATGCAAGCCTGAGTATTACACCATAGATGTTTGCATGGTTACCAGAGATCCAATACTCATCGGGGTTCTTAAAGCACATAATTCATGGGTTAGTGCCATCAGTTGGGAAGTTTCCTTTGCAGACTCTTCAAAGTCCTCACTACTTTTAGCAACTGGATGTTCGGATGGAAGGTGAACACAATCACGTCAATTCTTTTCCAGTCTTTCCCACTGTGTGCTTGACATGTTTTTGTTGACTTTGCTCCTTGTATAATTCATTAAATGGCAGAAGGATAATGTGTTTAATGAACAATGAAGTTTGAACATGACATTTGAGCTAGTAAATAGTGCTTCAAACAAGTTCCCAGATAATCACGAGACATGCATTTTCATGCTTCTGCCTTAAATGAAAATTCTTTGTAAAGATTATTAAAAAGCTAAACTCACTACTGTATCATGTGAAACCCACTTATTGATGAAAATTATCACCATTGGAAAATGATTTTCCTGATCTTCAGCACCAAATATAAATTTTACCACCTCTGTTCTTGAATAGATGACATCCTAGAATGTGTGAGTCAAACTTCCCTAACTTTGGCTCATATTATATCAAAACTTATTTTGTTTCCTCATTGAAATTGATATTATTACATTTGTAATGAATGCAACATATGTTTTTTAGTTTGAAAAATGAAAAATATATTCATAATGTCACTAGATTTGTATCGCCGTATACATGTGAAAGAATGGTCAAAGTTGCGTATTGGAGACCATGTCCAAATTTAAAGTGTATATGCTTATTATTCCTTCTCACTCCCTAGTCCCTACATTGATGATAGTTCACTAGAAACTCTTTCATATCTCACCGTGGGAAATTATATCTTTTCAGTGTGAAGATATGGTCCGGTAATACCGAAGGATTAAATCAATGTACATATGTAAAAGAATTGCCATTTTCATTATTGGTTGAGGTACATAATAAGCATTGCCTTGTTTTTATGTTCTTAATATTTTTGTTTATGCACATAATTGATGTTCGACTAGCAATTGATGAAACATCCAATGGACATGGGCCTGCATGTCTTTTCAATTTAATGTTATTCAACTCAAAATGGTCTACTGGTCAGGTCACTGCTAATTCGTCAGCACCAGTCTCGTCAGTTTCATTATCTGTACCAGCTCAGCCTCAACATGGGGTTAGTTTTAACTTGGCAATCGGAAGAGTATCCGGGTCACTGGAAACATGGATGTGGGATCCATGTAGAAACAAAATTGAGAATACCAGTGCATGTCATGCACATGATCAAGTGGTAAAGCTTCATTGCATTTCAGTATCTTTTCTCTTCAATAAAGGATCTTTTTTCTAACTTTACCTCAGGTGACAGGTTTATCATGGGGTTTGGATGGCCATTGTTTATACAGCTGCAGCCAGGTCAGTTGAATTACCATGGCACTGTTTAGGTTACAGGTTTATCATTATTTATTTTATTAGCTGTCTACCTTCGAGTAAAATCTGTTTGTTCTCTGAAGTTAACCTACTCATACTCATAGTGTGTAGCTTTGCATTTTGACTAGTTGCTGATTACCTATCTGAAAGAGCTACGTTGGTGAGGTTCATTCTGTGTTTGTATACCCTCACTCAGACTAGGTACCCACTACCTATAATAGAACTTGTTGTTCTTATCTAAGATCTTGGAGAAACACTGAAGCCGAGACTCCCTCCTCCCGCTACCGCGTCGCCCCCGCGGGCGGCCGGTCGCGACCGACCTCCTCCCCCGAGCGCCTCTCCCTCCCCCTTCCTCTCTGCCGCCGTCGCCGGCGCCCGCCACGGGCCTGGCCCGGGCGACGCTGGTGGCGGCGGCCCCCTGGCTTTTCCCCTCTTGGGTGTCCGCCGGTGCAGGACGGGGCGACCCCGGGCGGTGCTTCTAGGTGGCGACGGTCCAGCGCGGCGGCGGGGCGACGCGGCGGCGCGGTCTGGCGGCGCCCGCTCGGCCCAGATCTGGGCCCTTCGGGCCCCATCTGGGCCTGGGCGGGCCGGCGGCAGGGTGGGTCTGCCTCGTGGCTTCCGGGAGGCGTGGGAGAGGCGATGAGCGGCAGGGTGCTGGCGGCGCCATCGCCGGCTTGCTGCAGCGTGGCGGCGGGGCTTAGCGGGCCGTTTCGGGCCTGGCCGGGCCAGGGGTGGCCAGGCATGCCCTGCTGCCGCGTCTGGACGGCTACCGCGACGGTGCCCGAGGCTCTGGCCTCCCGCACGACGGCGGTGGAGGTGGTTCCCTCCCGTTCGGCTTCGGTCCTGCTTCTCCCTCCGCGGGGCGCTTCTCTCCGGTCCTCTTGGCCTCGTGTTGGTATTCGCAGTGAGGCGGCGTGGGTGGCGGCGCAACCGCGATGGCACATGGTGGTGGGCGGCGGTCTGGCTGGTCGGCTCCGGTCCGTTGGGCGGTGGGGATTGGAGTACGGGAGAAATCCTTGGCGGTCTTCGGCTCCGATGCGGTGACACCTGCGGGTGCCACCATCCCTTCCTGGAGGGTGTCGGTGATATCCATCCCCTACCTCCCTCCGCGTGCCGGGGAAACCCTAGGACATGTCCGGGCAGCAGCGTCGTCGGCGTCGCTTTCCTTCTTGGAGGTGCTGTTTTGTACGCGGTGGTTCGGAGCCTCGGGTTGTAGTGGTTTGTCTCTGGTGGGCGTAGCGGTGGCGGATCATCCGCGCTTTGTCGAGCTGCCGTTGTTGGCATTTATTTCTTCTTCTTTTTCTTTTGGGCTTGTTGTGTTGTTCGCCCCAGCGATCCTGTATCGGTGATGGTTGCTTTGGAATACAAAGCGGGGGGAAACCCTTTTTCGGTATACCCTCACTCGGTGACTGCATGTAACAGCAGCAATAAGTGATTTTCATATCAAATCATACATTTTCTGTCTATATTTTTCATATGAGGCCACAAATTCACAATTGCTTCAATTGGATTCTAGATCTTTCCATGCAGTTCAATTTGACCCAAAGTACAAGGTTGAAGTTTCCATTTGTTCTAGATCTTCAATACTGGAATTAACAAACATTTGCTACTTTTCCCTCAAAAAACAAAAAAAAAACACAAACACTTCCTACTAAGGCCCCGCTTGGAATGGGGGTAAATTTATACACCCGTATTACTTCTACAGGTGTATTTCACCAGCCATATGTGATTTCCCACCGGAAAAGAAAACGGCCGATTGAGGTCTGTATCTTTTACAGGTGTAAAAGTGTGGAAAACGACAATCCAATCAGGCCCTAATATTGTGAGATGAGCAGCAATCTCAATTGGACTTACCACATGAACATTCGTTGCCTATAACAGTACAAGCACAGCATATATTTCTCTTTTCTTGAATCCAAAAGAAATTACCAATTATTGTCCTGATTGGAACTCATCAGAGAGATGATGGACATGATTAAAGCTAATAACTTTTTGAGGATTTGGGTCAAAATGAAAACAGAGCAGGGGCCTATGGTAAAAGAATCCCTCAAGCCGGGAAGCTAGTCGACCACTTGACCTTGTTATGGCTAAAAATGACCACTATCCTAACCCGTTAACAATTAATTTATTGTACTAGTAATGCTGATGGCCATCAGGCCATGTGCCCATCTGCTGGCGACGATACCTTTTGACACTATCAAGCTGAGCTTTCTTGTGTAATAATTACTGAAAAATTACAGTTCTCCTTTTGATTAACAAGGTATCTGGTGCAGTTGTTGCAGTTTTAGCATATGTGCTTTGTTCATTACTTAAACCCTGTTTTTCATGCTAATGCATAATATGTTCTTCTTTATATCAGGATAATTCTGCACACTGTTGGATTTTCGAGAAACTGAAACTTGAAGGAATTCCCGTGCACACAAATTTTCAGGAGCTAAAAGAGTCAACAGATGTAAGAAAAATAGCATCCTCTAATCCCCCTTTTTTCTCTGAATGTGTGTTTTCTTCTTTCTGATTGGCATATGCGATGTGCATGCAGCTACCAAAAGTATCTGATCAATGCTTTGGACTTTCGATTGCACCAGGACAACTAATGATTGCTGTGGTATGTTGTAGGTCTTTTCTTATATCCATTTGTTCCTCAACTGCACAATTTTATACTTGAGCTTCTATACATATACGTGAGTACAAATTGATGAACATTGTTTCCTTCAGGTCCGCACTTTGGATCAAAATCTGTTAGATCAGATGTATCAAGCCAGGTAATTTTGCTTACAGTTCACTGAATAGTACTCAGGTGTTTTTGTATACAATTGTCGCATTTTTAAGATAACATTAGGGAATGCTTAGTTACTTGTAACAATTTTTAATGTATAAAACAGGACAGAGAAAGCAGTGGTTGAGTTCATTTGGATTGGTGGTCAGTTCCTTGGTCTTCCACTAGACAAGGGCATTTATATCTGCAGTCCACAATCTGGCACTAACTTCTTATGGTGGGGATCCAACATATTTTGGTCATTGAAGAAATATGAAAATGGTGAAAGAGGACTGATCTTATGGGATATCATAGTTGCGCTACAAGTGCTAAAGAAATCCGCACCGACCTTTCTGGAAACGTTAATGCATAAATGGGTCTCAAGTCTGCTTTCATATGATCAGTGTGATTCTATCATTATCTCGCATCGTTCGAGAAATGACATGATATCCAAGGCCAGCTTGCGGAAGTTACACTTGCTGAATATCGTTTGTAGGAAAGTAATGCTTAGCGACCATCCACAGTATTCTCCTGGTGGAGAAGAGGGTAACAATGCGGCAACTGATTTATGGACCAATCTTCTAGTGAGTAGCGAAACAGAGCTGCGGAAGAGGCTTGTGGCTTTCACTTTTGCTGCTGTCTTGGGTCGAATATCATATTTGCGGAAGGGCGTCTCTAATGACAACCGGTGGTTTCCTGTTGGAATTGCCCAGATGGATTCGTGGGTATCTATGAATAGTGGAGAAGTGCACAATGAGCTCAAGTCTCTGAAATCGAGGATCAAAGACTTAGGAAGCAGGTATTCGGTTTGCCAAATTAATCGACTGTCCTCCCTCAGCTAATTTCACTCCTGAAAGGACATAAAACATTCATACTTTTTTCAACAGCTTACTGAAACCAAAATTTGGATGTTGCGTGTTTCTAAAACTGTTGTCCTCTTGCAGGATCGACTCGGTGTGTGAATATTCGGTTGAAGAAACCTGCCCCTACTGCTCTGCGCCGGTGCGCTTTGAGTCGCCCGATGTAGCCCTGTGCGGAAGCGGAGATTCTGCTATGGTCCCAGCTGAAAGGCACAGACTGTCGAGATGCGCAGCGTCGATGCGCCTTTGCTCCGTCCTGCAACCAGCCTGGCACTGCACATGTTGTGGAGGAATGGTCGATAAGCTGGTGCCGGAGACCTTCTTCACCATGACGGCATCCCCTCTGGATGCCAACCATGGCAGTGAATCGCTTTGCTTGTCAGCGCCTGCCGTTCCACTTTGCCCCTTCTGCGGCATAACGCTGCAGAGGTCGACGCCGGCGTTCCTGCTCTCCGTCTCCCCGTTATAGAAATTAGCGGGACGCCCCAGTCATTCAGATGATTTGCCTTGAGAATCTATGAATTTGACAGGAGTAGCAGCTTAACGGACTAGCCTTTGGTTTCAGTTGCAAGCCACAACCTGCAACTCCATCTTCCTGGCACGCTTCACCAACCAGCCGCACCCATTTCCTCGTTCAACTTCAATTCCTCCACCCTGTCTCTTCCTCTCACTATCCAAGTGTAACATCTACTGTAGTTCTTTTGCAGTATTGTGCACCTGTTGTTAGTAGATGCTGCTTGAAAGCGCAGCGATATTTCTTAATAACTGTTACATGCAGATGGGACGATGGGACGATGGCTCGGCTGCCTGGTGCATGCTCCCGTCATTCCGGCCACCAGACACTAGATGTTTAGGGAGATGTTTAGAAAAATAAACTGAGTTCTTCTATAACGTCAGTGCTTATTTTTGCCGCAAAAAAAAACATCAGTGCTTATTTGTATAGAGCCTAATTAAACGTCTATCCTTTATCAATAAGCAACAGTGCTTAGAGAAACACTGATTTATTTTTCTAAGCGCCTTCCATTGTACTTAGGGCGTGCGGTGCATCAAATCGAACACACCGAACTCGCGTACATGTCCGGACTTGCTGCGGACAGTGGTAGTGGAGCCTGCTATCCAACCCGGTGCACTAAATGTCTGCCCCAGATTTGGATGCATACCCGCTCTCCTTCATTTGACATGTATATATAGATTAATAGCAATTTAACATATTGGGTCTCCTTCATTTGACATGTATATGTAGATCATGACTAAAAAGTGCTGGATCATGTAAAAGTCTCATTTTTTTGCCCTTACAAACATGTGCCGAATTCTTCACTGTGTGATCAGCTCCTCATCACTAGCTGGCTCCTCCAAATTGGCCGCTAGATGCTTCTACATCCTAGCACGGTAGGCTTGCATGATCTTTGCGAGGATTCAACTTCATGGTCAACACCTTGGAGCTTGGTCTTCTTATATTGCACCATAATGCACTTGTTGAATCTCTTGGCCTTCTTTTCCTCAACGTCATTGCAATTGAGTCATGTCTCCTTTTCGCCATGATGTTCTTGATCCTCTCTATCATCTTGTCTGCCGCCCCTTCTCGCTTCTTCTCCTTTCACTTTCTCCCTCGGTTCCTAGCCATCCTTTTGGCTGGAGCAAGGCCTCCTTTGTTGGATCACCATCTTCACCTACATTGGGCATGGCGGCCGTCCGGTTGCCTTGGGTTGAGAGTCCTCCTGTCGGTGTCAAAACCGGCGGATCTCAGGTAGGGGGTCCCAAACTGTGCGTCTAGGTCGGATGGTAACAGGAGGCAAGGGACACGAAGTTTTACCCAGGTTCGGGCCCTCTTGATGGAGGTAAAACCCTATGTCCTGCTTGATTAATATTGATGATATGGGTAGTACAAGAGTAGATCTACCATGAGATCGGAGAGGCTAAACCCTAGAAGCTAGCCTATGGTATGATTGTTGTTCTGTATGTTGTCCTAAGGACTAAAACCTTCGGTTTATATAGACACCGGAGAGGGTTAGGGTTACACAAAGTCGGTTACAATGGTAGGAGATCTACATATCCGTATCGCCAAGCTTGCCTTCCACGCCAAGGAAAGTCCCTTCCGGACACGGGACGAAGTCTTCAATCTTGTATCTTCATAGTCCAGGAGTCCGGCTGAAGGTATAGTCCGGCCATCCGGACACCCCCTAATACAGGACTCCCTCAGTAGCCCCTGAATCAGGCTTCAATGACGACGAGTCCGGCGCGCAGATTGTCTTCAGCATTGCAAGGCGGGTTCCTCCTCCAAGTACTTCATAAAAGATTTTGAACACAAAGATAGTGTCCGGCTCTGCAAAATAAGTTTCCACATATTATCATAGAGAGAATAATATTTACACAAATCTAATCTGCTGACGTATTCCGTAGTGTGACACACCACGGCCAAGCCTTTATCCGAATCATTTTATTATCCCACCTCAGCGCGTCATGCGAGGCGGTTTCCTTGGCACGTCTTGTTAAAGCAGAGATCGTGTCCCCTTATTCCGGGATTCTCATCAATACGGGCGTGGGTAACCCAACCGCGCCATTGATTACGGCGCTTGGAGATAAGCGAGTTTTACTAGGCTGGTGGGGACACGTAGTTGCGTCCACCCATATAAGGGGATAAGGATCCACCTTTTCACCTACGCCTTCTTCCTCCTTTGCCTATCCATTTTCGCGCACTCGAGCTCCAGCGCCCAAGTCCGCACTCCCCACCTCAACCTTCTCCAGCCATGTCCGGAGCGGGAGGCAAGTGGATGGCCTCCTCCGTCACGGAGGGACACATCAAAAAACCGAGGAAGGCCGGATACTTGTCTAACGACATCGCGTACCGGCTTCCCGAAGAGGGGCAGCTCCTTCCCACCCCAAGGCCCCATGAGAGGGTAGTATTCCTTCCCCACTTCCTCCGCGGACTGGGCTTTCCTATCCACCCATTCGTCCGGGGACTCATGTTCTACTAGGGCCTGGATTTCCATGATCTGGCCCCGAACTTTATCCTCAACATCTCGGCGTTTATCGTCGTGTGCGAGGCTTTCCTCTGCATCCGCCCCCATTTTGGCCTATGGCTCAAGACTTTCAACGTCAAGCCAAAGGTGGTGCATGGCAACCAGGCGGAGTGCGGAGGCGCCATGGTGGGCAAGATGCCCAACGTCTTATGGCTCGAGGGCTCCTATGTGGAGACCCTGAAGGGGTGGCAATCGGGGTGGTTTTACATCACCGAGCCGCACGACCCTGAGTGGGTCGCAGCCCCCCGGTCCGGACCCCCAACACGGCTCACATCCTGGAAAGAGACAGGCATGTCGTGGGGCAGCAAAGGAGAGGTGACTGGACTACAAACATGCATCCAAACCCTGGTGGACAAGCAGCTCAAGCTTGTCAACGTAGTCCAGGTTATGCTCATCCACCGGATCCTCCCATGTCAACAACGGGCCTTCAATCTGTGGGAGTTCAACCCGGCGCAGCACCGAACTCTGAGCAGGCTCTTCGACACAACATACGAAGATGCCTGGAAGGTGCTTTTCAAGGGCGCCGAGGCTCCCGCATCCGCTACCGAGGATCAGGGATTCAGCGCGCAGCGTCACGCTAGCACGGTAAGTTGTTTGTACCTTTTACAGGGTATTAGTTTTTCATAGTTTAACTCTACGCGGGATCTAAGCTCCCTTACCTTTGACAGGTTTGGCAGGCGAAGTCCGGACAGATCGACTGTCCGGCTCCTTTGCCCGAAGACCCAGCTGATGCCCGCTTGGCAAAGCTGCTGGTTCCGGCACCCCATGTTGTGCCGGAGAAGAAGGCGAAGAAGGCCACGTGGACTCAAAAGAGTGCCCGGCGCCAGGAGGTGTCGGGTTCCTCATCCGACGACTCCAAGGCGCATTCCTCCTGTGAAGACGAGGAGGAGGAAGAAGAGACCTCTCCCCCCCCCAGCGGGAGGAGAGAAGAAAAGGAAGGCCGCACTTACTGGGGAGGCCGAAGGGTCCAAGAAGGGAAGAACCCTTCCTCCGGACTACTCCACCTACGCCGACGACGACGGAGAGGAGTGGCCGCTCAGGGCCAAGCCCCCGGCGAAATCGTAGGTATCCGGATACCAGAGTAATTCATAGTATTCCTTTATTGCACAGCTTTCCCTTATGTCGAATATGATTATGCAGCCCACCCAAAGACTGGCTTGACGCGTCGTCGAGCGGTTCACTGGACTCGTTGGATGTGAATTCCCTTCCGACGGCTTCCTCCCCCCACCCTGCGGACGACGCCGAAGTGTTGTCCCGACAGGTTCCAAGCCAGGAGGAGGTGGTCCTGGAGGCTCCGCAAGGCGACCTCCCGGACTCTAGGAGTAAATGGGATAAAACCCCCCAGGGCTCCAAGTCCGGCCCTAGGCCGGACACCGCTCCGGAACCTTCAAAGGTTCTGGAGTCTGGCGGGCGACCTCCTCCCAAGGGGAGCAAGCCCACCGTGCCGGTGACCCCCGTCCAACCGGAGGCGCCGGTCAATCTTTTGGAGGCGCTCAAAGGCGCCTCCATCGACGAGGAGCACCACACCATTATGAGTGCGGTGGTCCAGAAGGTTCAGTCCGCCAAGAGCAGACTGACTGAAGCTTGTACTAGCCTTTTAACAGGCTTTGAGGTAAGTAAAGAATGTGTAAATAATATTACCGCATAGACAGTAGCCCTTGATGCTCTGTTTGCGTTCGGGAAGAAAAGCCGAATAGAGGATCAAATAAAATTCGCAGGAGTCTAACAAAAAGGAGTCAATATGCGTATGCAGGCTTCTCTGCTGGCGTCCGCCGCACTGACCGCGGAAGTGGACACGCTAAAGCAGAACCTCGAGCGGTCCGAGCAAGAGCTCGGGCGTGCCAAGAAGCAGCTTGAGGACAAGGAAGGTAAGAAATACTA